AGCCAGTCTCAGTCATACTTGAAAAGTTGTGGCAGTCCCAGTGACTGCAAAAAGGGAAACATCGGCCCATTTTTAAGAAGGGTAACAAGGAGGATCCTGGGAACTGGCCACAGAGATGCTGTGAGGGCTGGAGCCAGGCTGAGAGACCTGGGCTGATTCAGCCTGGAGAAGAGAAGGCTCTTAAGAGGAGACCTCAGAGCAGCTCCAGTGCCTAAAGGGGCTACAGGAAACCTGGAAGAGGGGCTTTGGGCAAGGGCCTGTATGAACAGGACAAGGGGAAATGGCTTTAACCTGCCAGAGGGGAGATTGAGATGAGTGTAGGCAGAAGCTCTTCCCTGTGAGACCCTGCAGACAGTGTGACAGCAGCGTGATACCTCTCTTGTTCCTGACTTGTTCCAGTCTCTGGGTTTTTTGTATGTGGTTCCTTTCTGTTTTCAAGGTGGTAGACATGTTACGTGGATTATGAAACCTCACTTGATCACTGGACGCTTGCTCTGGCATAACTTCTGGTTTCAGTTTGCCACAAACAGTCATTTCCAAACCTCACTTGCTGTGTTTTACTGCGTGGCCTGTTGCTGTAAGAGGGTTTTTTGGCTGGGGTGAAGGAGAGTAGTCTCACATTGAATGTGTTCTGGGCAGCGTGGTGGGAGAGTCTCTGCTGCAGGACAGCCTCCTTTCCCAGCTGGATGTAGCTGTGCCAGTCCCAGAGTGCTGGGAATTGCAGTAGCATCTTCCAGAAGCCCAGCTCTGCCAGCAAGGCCCTGGAGAGGACAAACTCCTCAGGAATCCTTCCAATGAAAGGGTATCTACCTGTTCTGTGCTGAGAGAAGAGCCACCTTCCTTCTGTAAGGACAGCTTACTGGAGGGTGTCTCCTACAGATTATCCATGTATAAGAAGTTCCAGAGATACCTAAAAAGTTATGGAATCATCGAATCCCAGACTGGTTTGTGTTGGATGGGACCTTAAAGCCCCTCCAGTTCCAGCCCCTGCCACAGGCAGGGACACCTTCCACTAGAGCAGGTTGCTCCAAGCCCCTGTGTCCAACCTGGCCTTGAACACTGCCAGGGATGGGGCAGCCACAGCTTCTCTGGGCACCCTGTGGCAGCGCCTCAGCACCCTCACAGGGAAGAGCTTCTGCCTTAGATCCAACCTGACTCTCCCCTAGTTCTGAAAACCTGTAGAATTGATGGGTTAATAATGGGTTTAAATTTGCGAAGTGAGACTTACATGTGTGTTGCACATGTATGTATGAGAGATGTATGTGTTTGGGTTAGCTGTGCACCCAGCCTCCTTAATTTAAGGCCTTTTATGCCAGCTTTAACTTGAGGAATATATAACTAAGCATAGCTGGTTAAAAATATCTGAAGAACACTTTGTAAGGAACATACTCTGCAGCCAAACAGCATTACTGCCACAGCAGTGTCACGTAGGTTGAAAATTCAGATGTCTGCTCCTAACTGAGGAGCTCAGTGACTTGAGTGTATGTTCAGCACCTGCATGGATGGATGCAGGAGCTCCTGCTCTGCTAGAAGTTAACATTTTCAATTAATTTCAATATATTCTTGAGTTAAACAGCACAAACTGCTTTGTTCTGTGCCACTTGTTAGGCTATTTTAGGGAGGGAAATTAGTTTCCAAAAGAGAGAGGAATCCCCTGCAGTGCTGTGTCCAGCTCTGGGGACCCCAACATAGGAGGGACGTGGAGCTGGTGGAGGGAGTCCAGAGGAGGCCACAGAGATGCTGTGAGGGCTGGAGCAGCTCTGCTCTGAAGCCAGGCTGAGAGAGCTGGGTTGGTTCAGCCTGGAGAAGGCTCCTTAAGGGGAGACCTTAGAGAAGCTCCAGTGCCTGAAGGGGCTACAGGAAACCTGGAGAGGGGCTTTGGACAAGGGCGTGTAGGGACAGGACGAAGGGGATGGCTTTAACCTGCCAGAGGGGAGATTGAGATGAGCTCTTAGGCAGAAGTTCTTCCCTGTGAGCGTGCTGAGGCGCTGGCACAGGGTGCCTGGAGAAGCTGTGGCTGCCCCATCCCTGGCAGTGTTCAAGGCCAGGTTGGACACAAGGGCTTGGAGCAACCTGCTCTAGTGGAAAGTGTCCGTGCCTGTGGCAGGGGTTGCAACCAGATGAGCTTTAAGGTCCCTTCCAACCCAAACCAGTCTGGGATTCTGTGAAAAGTTTGGAATCAACCTAAGTGACTAACCTGCAGTTGAGGAGACAGGAAATGGCACTGGGTGGGTCACGGGGGAGGTTGGGTAAGCTTTTCTTCTTGACAGCTTCCCCTCAAGATTCCCTGTGTAACTGAGCTGGGACTATCACAAATGAAACCTGTGGACTTGATGATTATAGGTAGCTGTACAAGAAACTTGTAGTTTTGTCTAGAACTTGTTGACCCAGGATGATTAAAAGGACCCTGGTAGGCACAAGGTGATGTTCTGGATGTGATGCTTCATCATGATCTCAGTTCTGTTTCTGCTGGGTTCGTCCCCATGATCTGTGTGTGATCTCTGCCTCAGAGTGCTGGGAGTCCAACACCAACAAGTAAATGTGGTGTATGGGAGGAGAAAGCCCTGAAGAGGCTTTGTCTTGATAGCTCATAGCCGAAATGTTCCCTTTATCTTCTAGTATTGCAACACCAACACGTTCAAACAGGGCTTCGTTACTTCAGCAGCTCTGTCACAAAGAACAGTCTTGCAGTGAGTTTCTTGAGTTCTTCCGAAGCTCAGAGGTAAAGGCATGTAAAGGAAGAATGATGTTGATCTGGATAAAAGCTCTCAAATAGAGAAATTACCTGTGACAAGTTTGAAGCGCTGAGTGGAGCTCCACAGAGTTTGTTATCAAATATCCTGGGTAACAGAGCTGTTCCAAAGGAAAATAGCCTTAATTTCCAGAGGTGATGAGTCCTCTTTGGTTTAGAGATCCTTAGGCACATACACATATGAAGAACCCTTGAACTGAAGTAAGGCACAAAGTGCAAGTCAATAACTTCATTAGTAAAAATAAATGAAAAGCTGTTCCTTCTTTTACTGTGTTTCACCTTGTTCACTGCAAGAAAGCAGATATTTAAACTGTGATCAAGAAGTTTAGGTTTTTACCTTGTTGAATGGCTGTAACCCTTCCTGAAGCAAAAGCTGGTGTTTTCTGCTGGTCTTCTAAAAAGACTCATTTCAGATGCTGCCTCAGATGCAGTTATACAAGCAAGGAACTGGCACACAGTCAGGTGTGGTAACATTTTGGGATGCTGGTAAAAGCAAAATGAATGGTTGGAGCAAGTGTTCCCGCTGCTGTTGTAATAGCAATGTGGGTTAGGTTAAAAACAGCAGTGGGATCTGTGTATGTAAAATCGTGTTGAGCACAGATAACAGGGGAATGGAGCATGTTGGCATCTCCCATCCAATTGACTCCACTTTATGAAACATTGCTTAGCTTAATGGTGATGTTACACAGAATGCTTGTCTTGAGTGATGCTCATCACCTTTCATAGAGTGCCAGACTGGTTTGGGTTGGAAGGGACTTTAAAGCTGATCCAGTTCCAACCCCTTGCCATAGGCAGGGACACCTTCCACTAGAGCTGCTTGCTCCAAGCTCTGTCCAACCTGGCCTTGTACACTGCCAAGGATGGGGCAGCCACAGCTTCTCTGGGCACCCTGTGCCAGCGCCTCAGCATCCTCACAGGGAAGGACTTCATTACCTCCAACCTGAACTTTCTCTGTTTCAGTTTGAACCCATCACCCCTTGTCATATCGCTACAGTCCCTGAAGAGTCCAGAGTCCTTGTAGCCCCCTTCAGATACTGGAAGGAATTACAATTAATTACAATTCATACTGAATACAGTTAATAACCATTCTAAAAGCTGAAGCGTTCTGGGGAAGATAACTCTGAAAATGTAATTAGTGGAGTTCATAGGGAGAGAAATCAGGGTGACAGAAAGGGCAGGAAGCGTTAGGTTGGGAGTGGGGTGAAGATGATTAATACAATGTGCAGTGCTCCGTGCTTAGCAAAAACTGGCTGAAAGGGAATGTTCTTCCTGATCTACATGGCAATAGTGAAACCTCATCTCAAATACAGAGCATGCGTCTGGTCACACACTGAAGTTCCCTGGAGAGCACAGAGAGGAGATGATCTGAACCAGGATTGAGGGAACCCTGCTCAGGCAGGGGGTCCTTGGGCACTGGTGGGGGTAGAAATGCCCCTGCAGCCAGGGAAGTGTCCTGGGCTGCATCCCCAGAGCATGAGCAGCAGGTCAGAGGAGGAGATCCTGCCCCTCTCTTCTGCTCTCGTGAGACCCCACTTGCAACACTGTGTGCAGTGCTGGTGCCCCCAGCATGAGGGCATGGAGCTGTTGGAGCAAGTCCAGAGGAGGCCACGAGAATGAGCAGGGGCTGGAGCACCTCCCATATGGAGACAGGCTGAGAACATTGGAGCTGTTCAGCCTGGAGAAGAGAAGGCTGTGTGGAGACCTCAGAGCAGTTTCCAAAGTCTGAAGTGGGCTACAAGGATGCTGGAGAGGGACTCTTCATGAGGGACTGTAGCGGTAGGACAAGGGGTGATGGATTCAAACTGAAACAAGGGAGATTTAGGTTGGATCTAAGGCAGAAGTTCTTCCCTGTGAGGGTGCTGAGGTGCTGGCACAGGGTGCCCAGAGAAGCTGGGGCTGCCTCATCCCTGGCAGTGTTCAAGGCCAGGTTGGACACAGGGGCTTGGAGCAACCTGCTCTAGTGGAAGGTGTCCCTGGCCATGGCAGGGGGTTGGAACTGGATGAGCTTTCAAGTCCTTTCCAACTAAAACCACTCTGAGATTCCATTATCATGCATTTATTGTCTCCGTTGTTGATACCATGCCCTTGTAATCGAAGTCACAGTTTTATGGCTTGAGAAGTTAATTTTGGTTACAGAGTATGATTCTTACAGTTAGGGAGGCAGCAGCATTAAGGTATTCCACTTGAATCACAAAGTAGGAATAAATAGCAAAGGTAGAAGATTAACTCATATTCTTTTGCATTCCAGCTAGTTGTGTCCCATCAACATGTTCTGGAAGTTTGATTTGAACACAACATCACATGTGGACAAGCTGCTGGATAAAGAAGATGTGACACTTCACGAGCTCATGGATGAAGATGACATCTTACAGGAGTGCAAGGCCCAGAACCGCAAACTGCTGGACTTCCTCTGTCAGCAGCAGTGCATGGAGGAGCTGGTCAACCTCATCACCCATGAGCCCCCCATGGACATGGAGGAGAAGATCCGCTTCAAGTAGGTATTTGTTTGCTGGCCTATCATATGGAGAAAGTGGGATGAAAGAGTTTGATGTTGGAAGTTGGTGTGAGGTGGATGGAACCTTCTCAGGTTCTCGAGTAGGGTCAAGTACTTCACAGCAGATTGTTAGTTGTGGTGAACTTTCAGAAGCTTCATTTTTAATGCTTTCTTCATTTTTAATGGTTTAAGATAGAGTTTGTATTAAAAAATTGATCTCTTACTGATAACAAGCATCTCAGAAGTACCTTTAGTAACTTTTTACCAAAATCACAAGCAGAGTGTTCTGCTCTAGGTTTCAACTGTGTGGGCTTGGTTGGGTTTCAGTAGCCAAGCCCACAGAAGAAGGTGAGCTGTACAGTGAATAAAAGATGTCATATTTCCAGTGTGTACATGTGCAAAACCTGCAGATTTCCATGGTCATACAGTCAGGGAGAGGCTCTGCCTCTGTCAAAAGCCTGTCTTTTACTGTCAGGGAGAGGCTCTGCCTCTGTCTAAAGCCTGTCTCTTACCTCGGTGGACTCCTCAGATGTGCTTGGTTCTTATAATTGTGTTTATACATCTTTCACTGAATGTATACTTGGAAATGCACTTGGAAATGTTTACACTTTGGGCTTGGGAAGTTTGTCTTTTCTTCCTTAAGTTAATATGAAAATAAAGGGCTGTTCTGGGGATAAATAAATAAGTAAAACCCACTATGTTTGTGCCTGTGGGAGCATCAGTGTTTGTCGTTGCTGCTGCTGCTTCAAGCCCAGGGAGGGATGGCAACTGCTCATCTGCTAGGTGTGAGAGAGGTGATCAGGGTGTTTAGGTGACTGTTTCCAGGTAAGTGAATGCCAAGAAGTATGTTCTGTCATCACTTAGAGTATCACATTTGCTTGGCTTCTGCTAGAAGGTGTGAGTTACTGGGTGGAACCAGGAGTGTTCTACACTGTTGTCCTACACTATTGTTCTACACAGGCATATATTGTACAGGTACTCCTTAACCAGGGACATGGGCCACCAGAGCCTCCTGACTTCTGCATTTCCAGCATTATACCAGGTGCAAAATCAGAATAAGTGGGTTTTCATGTGGTGACTAGCTCTGTGCTTACTGCAGCCCCCTGTAGATGTTGTTTGCACAGCTCACCTGAAAGGAACTCAAACCCAGAAGGTCTGCTTGAAGAAGATGGGCAATACTTTCCTAGTGCCAAGAGTTAAGGAGCAGATAAATGCTGAATGATTGGCCCCTTGCTGGAACCTGAGTGTATTTTGCCACAGAAGAGAATGAGAGATTCCAGTACTAATTCATACAGTGTCCATATCAGTGCAACTACTTCTCCAGTTAACCAGCCCATATTTTTATGCCCTGTTCTTCTTGAGATCTTTGTGACTGCTGTCAAAAGATGGTTTATGTCTCTGACCCTGTGTGCTGAAAGGTGGAAGTGGAAACCTTTTCCTAATGTAACTGGACAGATTAAGAATAAGAGGCATTTTTGATAATAAAGGACCTTATATGAGAAAGCTGGGGTGGTTCAGCCTGGAGAAGAGAAGGTACCTTAAGGGGAGACCTTAGAGCAGTTCAAGTGTCTAAAGGGGCTACAGGAAACCTGGAAGAGGGGCTTTGGACATGGGCCTGTAGGGACAGGACAAGGGGAATGGCTTTAACCTGCCAGAGGGGAGACTGAGATAACCTCTTAGGCTCTTCCCTGTGAGGGTGCCGAGGCGCTGGCACAGGGTGCCCAGAGAAGCTGTGGCTGCCCCATCCCTGGCAGTGTTCAAGGCCAGGTTGGACACAGGGGATTGGAGCAACCTGCTCTAGTGGAAGGTGTCCCTCCCGGTGGCAGGGGGGTGGAGCTGGATGAGCTTTACAGTCCCTTCATCCCAAACCACTCTTGGATTCTATGACAGAACAATTAGGATTAAGGTGGGGAGAAACTCAACCTCTCAAGAAACAAAATCCTTAATGCCAACCTAAAGGAAGAGGAAAGCTCAGTACAAAAGTGTTCACTCCTGGGCACCACTGAATTTCTCCTGCAGAATTCTGTGCCTTCTCATCAACTTTTGGAGGTAACATGTGGTTTGGGCAGCTCCTGGCTGGCAAGGAGGCATGGACAGAGGCAGACAGTGGTGGGAAGAGACCAACCTCCAGTGCTGTTGTCCCTGTGCTAGCGGGATAAGATCTTGTGTTGGGAAGACCTTCAGCTGGCAGATTCATTCACCAATCTCTCCATCAGATGATGCCATTACATCTTCTTCCTCTTCTGAGAGTGGCCCATAAGGTGCCTGCTTGTAAAACTGGTGTAGGGGTGGGAAGTGTAGTTATACACTATGGATGGGTAAGGGATTAATTGATGGCAACGAGAACCACGTAGTGACCTGCTCACCAGGACAAATAGAGCTGGTGTTTATGAAGTATTAGTTTGGCAATGCTTCTAGGGGCATAGGTAGACAGGAGGTGCAGTTTCAAAGCACAGTGAGGCACTGGAGGGGAAAGATGTTTTAAGCTTATAAGAACCTGGGAAATCTTTTGGAATAAATCAAGGCTAAGCAGGAAGAATGGACTCTGCCTAAATTCAAGTGGAATCCAATTCTTGGCTCTTAAGAAAAGTTTATGAATGTTTCTGAACTGGAACAGGGGAGAAACTCGATAGCTTTGGAAGGACACGCATCCCAGAATGATGTGTGCTGTGGAAATGGAATCGTCCAAATGCTTTCTTCTTGAAACAGCCAGAGGATGGAAGTTCATGAAGTTCAGAAGGGAAACCACAAAGAGGAAAACTCCACCGTAAATCCCTGTCTGAGGGTAGAATGTGAAACTGAGCAACCAGATGAAGACCTGCAGCAGTCAGAGAAGTGTATAAACTATATCATAGAGTCACAGAATCCTGGAGTGGTTTGTGTTGGAAGGGAGTTTAAAGCTCATCCAGCTCTAACCCCCTGCCACAGGCAGGGACACCTTCCACTAGGGCAGGTTGCTCCAAGCCCCTGTGTCCAACCTGGCCTTGAACACTGCCAGGGATGGGGCAGCCACAGCTTCTCTTGGCACCCTGTGCCAGTGCCTCAGCATCCTCACAGGGAAGAGCTTCTGCCTAAGATCTCATCTCAGTCTCCTCTCTGGCAGGTTAAAGCCATTCCCCTTGTGCTGTCCCTACAGGCCCTTGTCCAAAGCCCCTCTCCAGGTTTCTTGTAGCCCCTTTAGGTATTTGAACTGTGATGTCTATTTGCAAGGAACCTGTTGATATTTTAGGATGTCTCAGAAGCCTGTTGGGATTGTGCAGTAAGGAATGTACAGGCTGTAGGAAGGGCAGAACTGACCTTGCTGGGGTGATGTGGATTTTAGAGGTTTGAGAACTGAGCATCAAGCTGCAACATGGAAAGAAGCTTCCCAGGGTGGGGTGTGGAGCCTGAATTGAAAGGGTGAAGCCTCTGATCTGACTTTGAAGCTTGGAGGCTGTAACGGCTGCAAGGGCAGAACGTGCTCAAAGAGGAGAGGTTTCACTTATCCCCCTGCTGACAGCATATATATCACAGTGCAGGGATTTTTAGGAATCATGAATGCCTTTTGCATGGAGCAATGAGTTAGAAAAAGGAGGAATAAGTCTTCACATGCCGTTGGGGGCTCCAAGAAACTCTGGTAGAATCACTCTGTAACAGTAACCAAAATGTACTCAGATCTAACATCTTCATAGGAGCAAAGAAGGCGTAAAGAGCATTAGTGTGGATTTGGGGGTGTTTGTCTAACTTTCGGGACTGGAGCTACATAAATAGGAGGAGGCTCTTCAGGAAGTAAATGTTGCTGTGAAGGGTGAAAAACTCACAGTGGGCCTGGAGGCAGTTTAGTGGCTTGTGGTAAAGGCAGAGCTTGTGTTACACGGATTTAAATAATCATAATCTAGGAAACCGGCTTGGTTAAAGCAAATATCCCATTGCAGGTAAAAGTAAACCCATCAAAAGGGAGCTTGTGTCCACATATGGAAAAAAGGGAATATAGAGGAAATTTGGGCTTTTCAGCCTGGACAAGAGAAGCTGCGTGGAGACCTCAGAGCAGCTTCCAGTGTCTGACGGGGGCTGCAAGGGTGCTGCACCAGGGACTGAGGTGACAGGACAAGGGGTGGTGGGTTCAAACTGAAATAGGAGAGATTTAGCTTGGATACAAGGAAGAAGTTCTTTACTGTCAGGGTGCTGAGGCGCTAGCACAGGGTGCCCATAGAAGCTGTGTCTGCCCCATCCCTGGCAATGTTCAAGGCCAGGTTGGACGCAGGGGCTTGGAGCAACCTGCTCTAGTGGAAGGTGTCCCTGCCAGTGGCAGGGGATGGAGCTGAATGAGCTTTAGCTCCCTTCCAACCAAAACCTATCATTGAGAGCCAGGAGCCATGAGGCTTTGGGATACCAGCACCAGGTAACACTTTTTTAATGGAAAGCTGCGTGGAGACCTCATAGCAGCCTTCCAGTATCTGAAAGGGGGCTGTAGGGATGCTGGGGATGGGCTCTTCATTAGGGACTGTAGTGATAGGACAAGGGGTAACAGGTTAAAACTTAAACAGGGGAAGTTTAGATTGGATATAAGGAGAAAATTCTTTACTGTGAGGGTGGTGAGGCACTGGAATGGGTTGCCCAGGGAAGTTGTGAATGTTCCATCCCTGGCAATGTTCAAGGCCAGGCAGGGCAGAGCCTTGGGTAGCATGGCTTAGTGTGAGGTGTCCCTGCCCATGGCAGGGGGGGTGGAACTGGATGATCTTAAGGTCCTTTCCAACCCTGACTATTCTGTGATTCTATTCTATGATTCTAAAGCTTAAATCTGAAGAAATTTCAGGCTTTTAGCAAAACCAACAGGCCCTAAAGACTTTTTTTTGGCTTTAGATTATTGGCTTTATTGATATTCTTTTCTGTTTGGCACTTTGATTACAAACATAATATTACTTATAAACACAGTATTACCTTTTCTGATCATAAGCGTGACCCATTTCTAAAAGCATTACAGGAAAAGCAAAAAACAAGGTCAGGATTTCAGAAAGGATTTCATTAGTTGTCAAATGGTATTTCATATTTTGATTTAAGTGATGGAATTATTTAAGCCAGTCACAGTAATGTTTTCTGGGAAATGAGTTAATTCCAAAGAAGATTACAGACTTTACTGAAAACCTGAAACTCGGGTTGGTTATCAGTTGCCTGCTTGTACATAGCAGTTGCTCATTTGTTAGGAGTTGTGTGTCAGGTCTGATGTTCTGCCTCTAAATTCTAGTCCTCATGATTTAAGAAATGAACTTGATGCTCATTTTTTAATTCAGCTCCAGTAGTGGAAAGAATAATTTTGTGGAAACATTGAAGAAACCTGCTAAAATGTGTTTTTCAAATCAGCCTTCAACCTTTGGGTTAATTTTTATTGGAGAAGTGGATTCATGTTAAGAGATTTTAAGTGTATTGAAAGTGGTTGAGCATCACTTTTAAAAATGAGGACTAACTGCAGTGTGAAGGAAGCTGAGCTGCATAATTCAGTGTTCAAAACCCACGTGATGTGCTGCAGGAAATAGTGTTTCCTTAAAACATGCTGTTAATGCAGATGACCCTTGTTTCTGTGTGGGTTTCCCCCCCTGTCCTCCAGGAAAGATGATCCTAATACAAGGGTTTATAACTTGAATAAGAGAAGATATTCCTGAGAGTTTTCATTTCACCTTTAGTCGCTCTGGTTCCATCCCTGCAGGTACCCAAACACAGCATGTGAACTGCTGACCTCAGATGTGCCGCAGATCAACGACAAGCTGGGAGGGGATGAAACTCTGCTCAACATCCTCTATGACTTCTTGGATCACGAGCCTCCTCTGAACCCTTTGCTTGCCAGTTTCTTCAGTAAGACTATTGGGAATCTCATTGCAAGAAAAACGGAACAGGTAGTGATTAGATTTGTCCTGATTCCTGAGCACAAATGCATTCACTTACGGTTGTGTTGTATGGCAATATCATTGCTATCGTCATCACTTCCTCATAGTCCTAGAGCTGAAATGCAGCTCACTGTACTCATTAAGGTTGGAGTTGTCATGCACTGTACAATGAGTTCTTCACATTCCTCAGTGAGGGATGCTGGGTTGACACCTTTGCTGTTTCATTTTGGATCTGCAGTAGCTGGGATATTCCTGTGGCAAAGCTCAAGCTTTGCTTTTCTTACTAAGGCATATTGATGCAGCCTTTGATCATTGCCCAGAATCAGCTCGTTGCATAAGCAGCACCTCAGTCTCATGCCTGTAAACAGGGTGCTGGAAACACAAGCTGAGCAGTGTTTTAGGAATACACACACTCTGATTCCAAAGGGATCTTTTAAATGAAGGCTGTGGAGAGCCTTAGTGGGATAGAGGATTCTCCAGCTTCACCGGCTTCTTGGTGTTCTTAGTCCTGTGGGTTACGTTTCTTTGTGGCATAGGGGAAAGAAAAGGTAGAATCATAGAATGGTTTGGGTTGGAATGGACCTTAAGATCATCCACTCCCAACCCCTGCCACAGGCAGGGACACCTTCCACTAGAGCAGGTTGCTCCAAGCCCCTGTGTCCAACCTGGCCTTGAACACTGGCAGGGATGGGGCAGCCACAGCTTTTCTGGGCACCTTGTGCCAGTGCCTCAGCACCCTCACAGGGAAGAACTTCCGCCTTATGTCCAGCCTGAACTTCCCCTGTTTCAGTTTGAACTCATCACCCCTTGTCCTGTCACCTCAGTCCCTGATGAAGAGTCTATCTCCAGCATTCTTATAGCCCCTTCAGACACTGGAAGCTGCTCTGAGGTCTCTGCGCAGCTTCTGTTTTCCAGGCTGAACAGCCTGCAGAAAAGAAGATAGCTAAAAAGATAGTTAAAGATAGAGAAAAAGATTTGATTTAGTATGGCCTTGAAATGAGAATGTTATTCTCTTATTCTCTGAAGACTTTCTCAACTCAGTAGCATCAAGAGGGGTTGGTAGAAGGTGAAGTGTAGAAGCTCTGTGTGCCATGTCCATGTGTTGCATTAGCAGCTGATGGCGCCACTTTCATATTTTCTTTTTAGGTGATTGCATTTCTAAGGAAAAAAGACAAATTCATTAGCCTGGTGCTAAAGCACATAGATACATCAGCCATGATGGACCTGCTGCTGCGCCTCATCAGCTGCGTGGAGCCTGCGAGCCTACGGCAGGAAGTGCTCAATGTGAGAACCTCCTTCTTTCTTTCTTCACAAGATTGGGAAATAGGGGGGTGTTTGTTTGTGGCTTTAAGGACTAGTTTTCTTTGTCACTTACTATGAGAGCAGAACCACACCCCTGAGTCTGGAATCTTGCTGGAGTCTTCACGTTTGGTACTATGGGGCTTCAGCCTGTTTGCGGCTTGCACAGCAGAAGCCTGGGTCAGTCCCTGGCAGTAAAGAATTTTCAGCTCATTTTTCCATATAGCAACCACTGTTTGCTCTGGATGGTTTTGCTGTAGAGCTTACGAAGTAAATGTGTCATCTTTCCCAGTGTCCAGGATTTTTAGAATGATCACTTGGGACAGTAAACTGTTTAATTCCTTGCCATGTTCAAGGAGGTGAGTGTGATTTCTGCATATGATATCCTGTGTCTCCTCCTTCCCCTTCCTCTTTACTAGGCAGCCTTAGAAAATACTTTATTGTGATACTTAGTTTGCTTTACAGGTAGGACAAGTTTTTCTCCCTTCGTAGCCTGGGTGAGGCTCATCCCCGTGTAATGGGCAGATGTGCAGGGTTTGAGGGAAAGAACCTGCTGTAGCTCCCTCTCAGTACAGCAGTGTGATGAATGTAAAGCTTTGCTTGAGTCACTGAAGCCCACACCAGGATGTATATGTTAGGTAAGCCTTGCTGCTTAAGTATTCTGTGTCCAGATCATGGACCACACCACAGCTTAGCAGCTGAATGAATGCTCTTTGCAGAGACTCATGATAGATGATTGTCATTGCTCAGTTCCTCCTCTCAGCTTTACAGTGCATCAAGCAGTCCACACAATGTTACAGAGGAGAGAAAAAATGCAGGCACATATTGATCCTTGGAGATTTGTATGTGTGTTCACCCATGAGAGGAGGTCTTCATTTTTGATGGGAAAGTTGCAGTTCAGTTGATTACACATCAAATAGTAATACTGTCAAAGGACATGAGAGGAAAAAGGCCTTCAGGAGATGGACTGACGAAGGATAATCACAGAATCCCAGACTGGTTTGGGTTGGAAGGGACCTTAAAGCTCATCCAGTTCCAACCCCTGCCAGGGGCAGGGACACCTTCCACTAGAGCAGGTTGCTGCAAGCCCCTGTGTCCAGCCTGGCCTTGAACACTGCCAGGGATGGGGCAGCCACAGCTTCTCTGGGCACCCTGTGCCAGTGGCTCAGCACCCTCACAGGGAAGAGCTTCTGCCTAAGAGCTCATCTCAGTCTCCCCTCTGTAAATTTAACAGATTATTTCATTATTAACAGACCTTAACATGTTATGTCAATTTGGGTGTTCTTTTCCTTTTGAATTTCATTTCCTGTGTCCCAGAAATGGAACAGCAATTCCTGTGTTCAGATGAATGCTCACACTTCCCTCTCTTCAGTACCCCTCTTTGTGGCCACCCTACTGCCCCCAGAGCCCATGATTCTGACAGCCCAGGCAAAAAGAGCAAACCTTCTTATCCATGCTTACTGTGGAGCTCCCAGTTGGAATCCGTAAAGCCCATGGGCTTAACTGTTGGAGGCCTGGAGGAGGAGGAGGTTGATACAGCATGAAGCTGAAACTGCACTGGAGAGCTGGGATTTAACTTAGAATCATAGAATCAGCCAGGTTGCAAAAGACGTTTAAATTCATCAAGTCCAACCTTTACCCCAGTGCTGCCAAGGCCACCACTAACCCATGTTGCTAAAATTTGCTGTGCTTTGCAAGCGAAAGGAAATACCCTTAATGCAGGAGTGTTAATAAGTGAATTTCTTCTGGGCTCTGGTAAGAGCAGATGGAACTTCAGTAGTTCAGAGTTCTTCTGCTGACATGGATTGGCAGGTAGGTTCTGCACAAAGCAGCAAACAGGCTGAAACATCCTCTGCACCCTGTCTGTGGAGCCTAATATGTGGAGAATGGAAACTTGGGGAGAAAATGGACGTGGTTGAGAGGGTTTTTTATTGGAGTTGTGCCATGTGTTCATAGTGTGGGAATACCCAGAGATTGCAGTCACAATTTGGGCTTGTAATCATGGTGCTGGGCAAATGTGGGGTGTGTAACGTAGGGGACCAACAAGGTAGGCCTAACAGAAAAGGTTACCCATGAAAAGAACATCATCCAGGCACAGGGAGATGAGCAAAGGTGGGTGTAGACCTACTGAGCCAAGAGGGAATGGTCAGTAGAATGGAGATGGCAGGACTGATGGATTAAGACCCAGTGGGCATCAACTCTACTGTGGGGGTCTTGAGAAGAAGCTTCAGGAGTTTAATTTTTATACTGAAAAGCTAGAAACCAGTGGAAGAATCTGAAGAGGTAAGTTAGTGAAAGACTGATGAGGAAGAATGTCTTAGGAGCTCCACTTTTTTAACTTTTGGGTACACTGGATGATGGGAAGAAGAAATCACAGAAACCAGATCTGAAAATACCATCTAGAATGAAGTACTTGATGTAGCAGCTGTAGGCTGGGTGGCTTCTTGGACACCATTTGTATTTTTACAGTAATAAAGGACACCAGAAAAGAGACAAAGACATTTCAGACTTGTAGGAAAGCAGCAGTATTATTGATGGGAAAAGTCACTGTAACTGGTGATGTGGAGTTTGTCAGACAGAGTGTTTTGTCAGACAGACTCCATGCTCAGCATGGCACTGGGGAGGAGAGTCTGAGATGGAGGAGGGTTATTAGAGTGAAGAGGCAACATAAAGATTAGAGTTGAAGTCATGTGAACAGATAATACAGAAATGAGCATTCAAGGGGAGACTTGCACAAGCCTTAGAGAGAAATGGAAGCAAGAGGCTGCTCATTTTCTCTGACTCATCTGAAGAGAGGTGGACGAGTCCATCGCTGCAGAAACCTTCAGAGTCTTTTCCTTTTAATTCATGTTGGGTCAGTTATTTCACAAGCAACAGAGAATGCGTTAGCTTGACTGATGAGTTTGATGGGTGTTAGACATTAAGCAGGTTGCCTGGAGTGAAAACCGTAGAAATCAGTTAAAATGGTTGGGTAGAAGGAGATATTGAGCTTGCAGATGGAGCTGGGAAGGGAGAGAGTGGAACTTATCATTTGCAGATGGTGTTCTTGGTTTGCAAGTGATCAGGAAGGGGAGATGAAGTGATAGCTTGCACTGAGGAAAAGCAGATGAAGCTGGCATGGAGCAGGGAGGTGAGGTATGGTAACAACCATCTCAAGGTTTGAGGAATTACTTGTGTAACCAGCAATGAGGCTGCGGGAGTAGGAAATGGGAGAGAAGAACATGCTGGTAATTACACTAATGGTCCTGCAGATGAAATAGTGCTTATGGCTGATCTGTTCCATGCTTTCGACAGGTATGGAGGGGTTTGGTTCCATGGGCAGGGTGCCCATGCTGATGCAAATCAAAATGCATCTTACTGTGTCCCTGGGGGTGTTTGGATACTGCCTGTGGCTTGGATTGGAAATGGAAGGAAGCTCGTGTTATGCAAAGCTTCTCAAGATCCTTGTTTTGAATTCTGTGATACCCAACAAGGATTTTCTTTCTCCTTTCCTTCCCCTCCAGTGGCTTAATGAAGCAAAGATCATTCAGAGACTTGTGGAATTGATCCATTCAAGCCAGGATGAGGATGTGAGTATCACAAGACTCAGTCTTGTCTTTGTGGGCAGAGGGTCCTGTAAGCTCCAGAAGACTTTCTTTGTCTCTTCAAAAACACCCAGGTGACTTATGGAAGGAGATCACAAGGGATGATGTGTATGGGTGGACATCCTGTCCTCTGCTTGCTCAAAACTAAAACACTTCGTTGTATTTTTAGTCAGCTTTTGACTTATTTTACTCCCAAGTTCACAGCTCATTCTGCTGCTGCATCACTTTGTCTCCGTATTTACAGCCACTTGGTTTCAAGTAGGAACCTGCTTTTTGAAACTGGCTGTTGAAAAACCTCTTGAATAAACCAGTTTGGTTCAACTTCCAGTTCTTTTTAGTAAGTAGGTTGTAAAATCTGCATGATGCAGTTGCCTGGGCCCTTGAAAAAGCGATGCTGTTAAATTTTGAGTGCTGTATTTTCCTTTTTGCTTTCAATGATTTCCATTAAACACCCCAGGCAGGAGCTCTGGGTCTGGATTTCAGATACCTCCACTACCATTTCACACTTGGGTGCCTGTTGCCATCCCTGGTGCTGAGCAGGATGGATGCATGGAGGTGTGGTGATCTCTAACTGCCCTCCTTTGATTTAGCTGGGGATGGAGCACTGGGTTACAGATTCCTGTGAGTGCCAGCAGCAAAGAACTGATGGCAGAGGGTTCCTTTGGTGTGGTGCTGATGCCAACACTGTGACTCCTTCATCACAGCGCCAAAAATTACCCCTTCTGAGGGGAAAAAGTGGGAAGTATCATGCTGATTTGTGTGTCTTTAGCAGTGCTATGATATGGGTGAATGCTGAATTACAGCATCAGGACTCATACATACAGCAGCTACAGAGAGTCTTTGATTGATAGGATGAGATGATGAATTTATCAACATGCTACTTTAAAGCCTTTTAATACATAGTAATTATGTTGTAAAGGGTTAGGTTTAGGGTTAGGGTTCTGTGTTCCTTTTTCTTCTTGCAGAAAACCTGAGTAGTGGGAAGCAAGAATTACTTGACACTGTTAAGTTCAGGGAGTTAAGTCCAGTTTAAAATCCTCTTTGATTCTAAAATCTCTTGATGCTTCTAATAATCAACGTTGTATTTAACAGATGAATAATTCAGAGCATGGTAGCACTTGCTTTGGAAAACCCTCATGTATTCAGCCTCTTGCATTCCCACCATGTTCAGTTGTCTCTGACGGCCAGAAGGAGCCAAGCAGAGGCTTTAGCACTGAAATGGGCTCTGTGTTGTTGTTACAGAGGCAATCAAATGCGTCCCAGACCCTGTGTGATATCATAAGATTGAGCAGAGACCAGAGCAATCAACTCCAGGATATACCTGAGCCTGATCCGCTTCTTACAGCACTGGAATCGTAAGTACTTCCCAGAGGATGTTGCTAATACTGTCACTACTGATGGCTCTCCAGAGAGACCAACTGTGTGTGTCAGGCCTTGGCTTGACTCTTGACATCTGTGACAACATTTTAATACTCCTGTTAACTTGTAGCATCACTTAACATCCCTGTTGAGAGCTCTGGGGTTTGTGGCTCTGTGTGAAGGCCATCTGGGTTGGTGGTCCCCAAAGCTCACAAACTAATTCCAGATGAGGCAATACTAGTGAGTGTGTTACAGTGAATTTGGAGAAGGGTGAACTGCAGTGGCAGTAGTTGAGGGAAAGCCCATAAAGGCTTACGGTTCATAAAATCACAGAGTGGTTTGTGTTGGAAGGGACCTTAGAACTCCTCCAGTTCCAACCCCCTGCCATGGGCAGGGACACCTTCCACTAGAGCAGGTTGCTCCAAGACCCATCCAAGCTGGCCTTGAACACTGCCAGGGATGGGGCATCCACAGGGAACCCTGTGCCAGTGCCTCAGCACCCTCACGGGAAGAACTTCTGCCTTATTTCCAACCTGAACTTCCCCTGTTTCAGTTTGAACCCATCACTCCTTGTCCTACCACTACATCCCTGATGAAGAGTATTGAAGATCAGCTGGTGCAGCATCATCAGAGTGATGGAATGAACATCAAATCTAGGTTCTCAATAGCTGTTGGCTGCATGCAATGAAAGTGAATTCAGTTAATTGCAGTAAACTCACTTCTTTTTCCTGGCTCTGCCTCTTGTGCTTGTGCTGATGGAGTGGATTTAGCTGCTACTTATCAAAATCATTTTCCCTCATGCATTATTCATGTATTTTTACATTTTCAGCTTGTGTTTTATTTATGCAAATGTAAATGAGATATTGTCCAATGTTAGAAAATAGTAAAAACGAGGCTGTGAACTTGAGTAACATAGGTTTTAGCTGGACATGTGACTTTGCAAGGCAAGAAGGGCACTTGCTGAGTCCTGGGGTTTGGAGAAATGTCAGTAGCATCCTCTAAAGTAGCATGGGGGGGAATGTGAACACTGAGGGGAAGGAGGCATGGCTACAGTAACTGTAGAAAAGCACCAGCGCCAGCCTGAACCTCCTGTTCCTCCCATCTATTATTCATCCAGCATGGCAAACAGGGGAGAGAAAAGTGAGTGTTATGTTTGTGCTTTTTACTCTCTATTCTAAAGCTGTTTCAGAATCATTTCAGATGCTGGAAAGGACCCAGTGTCCTTATTCGTTCTGACTTCACCAGTCTTAGACTCATAGAATGGTTTGTGTTGGAAAGGACCTTAAGCTTATGCAGTTCCAATGCCCTGCCATGGGCAGGGACACCTTCCACTAGAGCAGGTTGCTCCAAGCCCCTGTGTTCAACCTGGCCTTGAGCACTGTCAGGGATGGGGCAGCCCCAGCTTCTCTGGGCACCATGTGCCAGTGCCTCAGCACCCTCACAGGGAAGAGCTTCTTCCTTATAGAATCATGGAATGGTTTGGTTGGAAAGAACCTTCAGATCACCTAGTTCCAGCCCCCTGAACTCCCCCTGTTTCAGGTTAAACCCATTGATCTTGTCCTCCAGTGTGTCAGTGTTTGGAATGTACCTTATGTCAGTTTGAGGGCTCAAAGAGATGGTGAATTCTTTAAACTATTTCAAGGGGATAATAGCTAAAGCTACTAAAAATGCGTGTATTTGATACAGTTTGCACTGGTTGGCTCTCATTCCAGGTCCTGGATCTTACTGTGCCACTGGTGAATGATAAGGGTCAACTTGGACTGTTTGATGTCTTTCCTCTGTGGGTCTGAGGGATAATTTTAGATAATAGCTCTGCATTGTCATTCATAAATTAAAGTTAACACTTGGTTGTAAGTAAGAGTTATATCCTGTTGATAAGGGAGAACAACATCTCGGTGTGGAGTCTAGGTGGTTGTAACCAGGTCTTGCCATAGTGATGAGCAACCAAGTTGAGAAACCTGGTGTAGAACTTGCATCTGAGGCTGCAGAGAGGAGTGTCTTTATTCTGTCTGAAAGAAAGCAGAATTTGCAGCCTTTTCCTCCAGAAAACCCAGAATTGGATATTTAGTGATAAAAGCAACTGCCAAATGCTTCTAATTCTTCCCCTGCTCACGGCTGTGTGTCCCTCAATAGGCAGGAATGTGTGGAGCAACTCTTGAAGAATATGTTTGATGGAGAACAGACTGAAAATTGCATAGTGAATGGCACACAAGTTCTTCTGACATTGCTGGAAACAAGGCGTTCTGGGTAAGTCAGCACTGGCCTCTCGCAGGAATGGTTTCAGGAACTCAAATCTAGCTTTATTTAGTCAGAAAAGGGAATTTTTATGGCCTAGTGAGAAGTGCTTACTGGAACTGAGTACAGAAAAAGCTGTTTGGTTGTTCTGATGCAGTAGCTGTAGCTCATGGCAGTTGGAGCAGTTGGCAACTAGTTCTTGTCTGGGCTCCTCAAGTTCTGCGTGTGTAGAGCAAAGTCTTGTCTGTAATATCAGAGATCTTAGAGCAGTGAGGGAGGCAGTGGTACACTGTGCATAATCTGTGTGACGATGTATGCATATATAGCTACATATATGGTGTATAGTTTTAAATTTGGTTTTTAAAATTATATACCCTTTTGTTTGTTTTTATGGAGAGGGAGGAAAGGCAAAAAGGAATTCTTGGGAGAGAATGAGACATGGAAAATGTTCATTTTCATAGAATCCTGGAATGGTTTGGGTTGGAAAGGACCTTAAGCTCATCCAGTTCCAACCTCCTGCTATGGGCAGAGGTGCCTCACACTAGACCATGTTGCCCAAGGCTCTGTCCAGCCTGGCCTTGAACATTTCCAGGGATGGGGCAGCCACAGCTTCTCTGGGCAGAGAATGATTGGGCAGCCATGTTTGGAAAGTTTTAAAACCTAGAAAGCCCTTTGGGAATGTGTCTTTGTCAGCTCTACAGATGGGTTAGTCCCTGTCTTCCCACTCAGCTCATTCACAGATTTGATTATGGAATATCATTTTGTAAATGATATATTAATATAATACAGTTATGGAAATATATTCAGTGTCTGGAAATTACTATCCTTCATCTTTATGGTCATTTTTGAAGAGAAGATGACCATCACGGGCAGTTTGCCTGGGAACCATCCTAAGATGTTGTCAAATCTTAACTGTTGTGCTTTTCTTTACAGAGTGGAAGGACTGATGGACTCATACACTCAGGGATTTGAAAGGTCTTACACTGTCAATAGCAGCATCTTACATGGTATTGAACCACGGCTGAAGGATTTCCACCAGCTGCTGCTTAATCCTCCCAAGGTAGAACATCTCCTCCTTCCTCAGGAGCATGGAATGGTTTGGATTGGAAGGGACTTCAAAGCTCATCCAGTTCCAACCCCCTGCCACTGGCAGGGACACCTTCCACTAGAGCAGGTTGCTCCAAGTCCCTGTGTCCAACCTGGCCTTGAGCACTGCCGGGGATGGGGCAGCCACAGCTTCTCTGTGCCAGCACCTCAACACCCTCAAAGGGAAGAGCTTCTGCATGAGAGCTAATCTCAAGTCTGCCCTCTGGCAGGTTAAAGCCATTCCCCTTTTCCTGTCCCTACAGGCCCTTGTCCAAAGCTCCTCTCCAGGTTTCCTGCAGTCCCTTTAGGCACTGGGACCTGCTCTAAGGTCTCCCCTTCATGCAGCAGAGGAGGAGAATCCCCTCCTTGAGCTGCTGCTCACACTCTGGGGATGCAGCCCAGCACATGGGGTAGTTCTGGGCTCAAGTGCACACTGGAGCTGGCTCATGGGGAGCTTCTCCTCACCAAACACCCCAAGTTGTTCTCAGGACTGGTTTAGCCTTACCTGCAGAGAAGAGTTATGAAACGAAGTAGCTGTGTTTAGTCAGGTCACTGCGTGTGTGCAGTGGAGGAGATGCTGGGCCTGACTGAGGTGCTTATGATGTGTTTCTCTGACAGAAAGCAGCAATCCTGACGACAATTGGAGTCCTGGAGGAGCCACTGGGGAACGCTCGTCTTCATGGATCTCGTCTAATAGCTGCTCTGCTTCACACAAACACTCCCAGTATTAATCAGGAACTATGCAGACTCAGTACCATGAATTTATTACTTGTGAGTAATACACCAAGACACTGGGAGTGGGGAGAGGAAATAACTTCAAACTGGGAACACTTCTGCTCTTCTTTCATCTGTTCAGTGCAGTTTGTTACGTGTGTGCCAGTGTCTGTCATTTTTCTAATCTGTTGAAAGAGGAGCATCATCCTCAGCAGCTTTTGTGATACAAATACAGATATTTGTCTTGTGAACTGAACCCCATGCTTTGAATTTATTGTTGTAGTAGTGTAGTATATGCAAAACAGGCTGGTTACTGGGAAAGTTTGAGTACCTTGTGCCTATCAGCTCTCATTATACTGAGAGATCAGCTTTCTCTGTATGTGAGCAGGGACGTGTTCTGAACACTGCCAGTAGAACCTGGGTGGGCTTTCAGAAAGTTATTTTCATACTTACAAATTCATAGAATCCCAGACTGGTTTGTGTTGAAGGGACTTTAAAGCTCCTCCATCTCCAACCCCATGCCATGGACAGGGACACCTTCCACTACAGTAGACTGCTCCAAGCCCCTGTGTCCAACCTGGCCTTGAACACTGCCAGGGATGAGGCAGCCACAGCTCCTCTGGGCACCCTGTGCCAGCACCTCAGCACCCTCACAGGGAAGAGCTTCTGCCTAAGAGCTCATCTCAATCTCCCTTCTGGTAGGTTGAAGCCCTGCCCCATCCAGCCTAGCTAAATTATTTGTTATAACCACACTATATTAGCATGTATTAGTATCTAGTGGTTGGTTTAATGGAAGGTGTGTTACAGCAGAGCAAATGGAGCACATCCAGCTACAAGTGGATATTGAGACACATAAGTAAAACTGTTTAGTGGAATTGCTGATTGAGCAACTAGCTGGGCAGTGTTCTAATATCATTTGCTTGTTAAAAATGGGAAGATGTATCTAGAAGAAGTTAATTTGTCTCTCCTTTGTTTCCAGGACTTATTTTTTAAATACACATGGAATAACTTTTTGCATTTCCAAGTGGAATTGTCCATAGCAGCTATTCTCTCCCACTCTGCCCAAGAGGGTAAAACTACTACTACTAATGACCTAGAAAGTAAAGAAGAGGTGCTGAATGGAAACGTGGCCACAGAGAACACAGAGACTCCAGAAAATACGGAGAATATCATGGTCACTCATGTAAGTCTGGTTGCGTCCCCTGAGGAATGCAGACTGACTGAATCAGTCTTCACTTAGTATGATGAACCTTTCAGGAGTGTGGAGGTTATTTATGGTCTACAGATCATAAAATCGTAGGATTGTAGAATGGTTTGGGTTGGAAAGGACCTTAAGATCATCTGTTTCCAACCCCCTGCCACAGGCAGGGACACCTTCCACTACACCAGGTTGCTCAAAGTCCTGTCCAACCTGGCCTTGAACACTGCCAGGGATGGGGCAGCCACAGCTTCTGTGGGCACCCTGTGCCAGCGCCTCAACACCCTCTCAGGGAAGAACTTCTGCCTTATCCTTGGTGGATAAAGAACTGGCTGGATGGCTGCACTCAAAGAGTTGTGGTCAATGGCTCAGTGTCCAGCTGGAGACCGGTAACGAGTGGTGTCCCTCAGGGATCGGTGTTGGGACTGCTCTTGTTCAACATCTTTGTCAGTGACATGGACAGTGGGATTGAGTGCGCCCTCAACAAGTTTGCCGATGACACCAAGCTGTGTGGTTCGGTTGATACGCTGGAGGGAAGGAATGCCATCCAGAGGGACCTTGACATGCTTGTGAGGTGGACTGATGCCAGCCTCATGAAGTTTAACCATGCCAAGTGCAAGGTCCTACACCTGGGTCAGAGCAATCCCAGGCACAGCTCCAGGCTGGGCAGAGAAGAGATTCAGAGCAGCCCTGCAGAGAAGGACCTGGGGGTGCTGGTCGATGAGAAACTGAACATGAGCCAGCTTCAGTGTGCTGTCACAGCCCAGAAAGCCAACCGTATCATGGGCTGCATCAAAAGGAGCGTGACCAGCAGGTCGAAGGAGGTGATCCTGCCCCTCTGCTTTCGTGAGACCTCACCTGAAGTATTGTGTGCAGTTCTGGTGTCCTCTACATAAAAAGGACATGGAACTGTTGGAACAAGTCCAGAGAAGGGCCACAAGGATGATCAGGGGACTGGAGCACCTCCTGTATGAAGACAGGCTGAGAAAGTTGGGGCTGTTCAGCCTGGAGAAGAGAAGGCTGCCTGGAGACCTCATAGCAGCCTTCCAGTATCTGAAGGGGGCCTATAGGGATGCTGGGGAGGGACTCGTCATTAGGGACTGTAGTGATAGGACAAAGGGTAACGGGTTAAAACTTAAACAGGGCAAGTTTAGATTAGATACAAGGAGGAAGTTTTTTACTGTGAGGGTGGTGAGGCACTGGAGTGGGTTGTCCAGGGAAGTTGTGAATGCTCCATCCCTGGTGGTGTTCATGGCCAGGTTGGACAGAGCCTTGGGTGGCATGGCTTAGTGGGAGGTGTCCCTGCCTATGGCATAGGGGTTGGAACTGGATGATCTTAAGGTCCTTTCCAACCCTAACTATTCTAGGATTCTATCTCCAACCTGAACTTTCCCTCTTTCAGTTTGAACCCATTACCCCTTATCCTGTCGCTACAGTCCCTAATGAAGAGGTTCTATCAGATCTAGATGGAAATGTATTTGCTTTTGTAGATCTGGTTTTAGCATCCAATTAACAAAATAAACATACCACCCATCTCCTTTAACGGGCTTGTGATTCCATTTTTACTTAATATTTTAGTAAAAATGCATATAAACTGTGTATAAGACCAAAAAAAAGGAGCTACAAGTGAGTAACTACGTTTTAACTTCTGCATAGAGGCCCTAATGGTGAAACCTTGCTGTCGTTATGTTGTAAATGACAATAATGTCCTCATGACTGCTCAGTGAAGCCCCAGAGCAGCAGGCTGAAGACATTTATAGGTATTGCTGCTTGCCATGGATTGTCTGAGAAAGAAGAAACTTGAGCTCTTGGGAAGGGGAAGTGCTGAACTCGAAGTTCTTGTTCAGTAGAGTGAAGGACTGAACAAAAAGTAACTCTAGTTCAGTGCAGACTTCTGAGGCCTGAGTCTCCCTTTGGCAAAGGTTTGAAGTTTTCTTCCTATCTCTTTGTTTTCCCTTCCAGCTGTTCCAGAAATGCTGCCTTGTGCAAAGGATATTGGATGCCTGGGAAGCCAATGACAAAATACAGTAAGGATCTGGGAACAGAAGCTTTTGTCTTGGGGCTGCAGGTTTAGAATAATGCCTTAAAATAGTCTTCTAATTATTTGGCTAAATCAGTGGTGTCTGTAATGATTTGGGTTGTGATTGTGATTTGGAATGAGGTTTATTTATTTGTATAAGTGATTTGGAAAGAGGTGATATTTGAATTCACCAGCAGACATACAGTGTGAAAGGGTGACTTGATTTATTTTATTTAATGTCTGTAACATCTCACCCCAGACACGATGTGTTGCTTTCTTGCTTTTTCAGGATAGTACACTGCATATTAGCTTTGCTTTTTGTTTAAATGCACAGTTATATTCTCCCCAGTGAGCAACTCTGTGGAAGCAGAGCTGGGAAAGTATTTTTGTCCCAGATTTGCCCCAAGTTAATATTACAGTTCTATAAATGACTCAGATTTCATTCTGATTACAATGACTATAAGAACTAAATCGTTAAAAAACCATAAAACATATGAAAGTGAACATTTTATCCAGGCTTCTCCTTCTTTGTCCATCTAAATGTTTTGGTCCTCCCTCACTATTTTGAGCTCTTTATGGCTTCACAGTGCTTTGTAGTCCTACTGTAATTACTGTAGGGTCACTGTGAGACCATAATTGGTGGGTTTGGATTTGACTTTTTTTGGGTTTGGTTTGATTTGGTTGGGGCTTTTTGGTTTGTTTCTTCCTCTTGCATTCCCTTGGGCTCCTGATAACAAATGGCACTGATAGTTTCATTGCACAACTCTAACTGTGCACAGTTTTGTAGGTAACAAAAACATCTGTGGTTGCTGCTTAAGAGTTTTCCTAATTAAATTAGATAGGAGCTAGAGCTCATCCATGTTTCATGCCAGGCAGTTCCAGTCACCACACTGGAAGGAATTTTAATGGCCAGAAAAGAATACTGCCTTAAAAGAGGTATCTCAGATGATATGCTTTAAGAAACTTGAGCTTAGCTGGAGATGGTTGATGCACTCAATGAGGAGATGGAGTGAGGCACTGGGAGCCCCAGGGGTAGAGATTCCAAATGGAGATATTGGGAGTTAGTAATCATCAGCAAGAATGGTGGTAATGTTTTTTCCTATTGGAACATTGAATTCTTTTTGGGTTCTCTTAGTTATTCTGTGTGTTCTTAATGGATTTTGTAGCTACTAGCATTTAACTTCAAGGTAACCCACATAGTTCTTTTATTGCAGAGCATTTGATGAGTCTAGGTAATTAGAATTGAAAATGAAGTACGTATGGTCATCAGTGTGAGTTCACAGATACATCCTTTTGCTGCAGCACACTTTCTTATGCGTTGTCTCTGCTGGCATCTAGGACAGAACACTTTGTTTTACAGCTGGAGATGTTGTAAAGTGAGGTGGAAACTTCTTGTCACCCTGTTTGTAGGGTTTTTTTTTCTGCTTAGTTTGATTCTGAGCCACCAGTTTTGTTTGGGGTGGATTGAGTCAACCTTGCATGGTCCTGGTGCTACGCCAAGAAACTTTCATTTCTGAATCTGACTTTAGGATTTGGGATTCTTTAATGTCTAGAATTGTAGAATGACAGTTTCTGTTGAAAGTGATGTTAAAGCTCATCCAGTTCCAACCCCCTGCCACGGGCAGGGACACCTTCCACTAGAGCAGGTTGCTCCAAGCCCTGTCCAACCTGGCCTTGAACACTGCCAGGGATGGGGCAGCCACAGCTTCTCTGGGCACCCTGTGCCAGCGCTTCAGCACCCTCACAGGGAAGAACTGCCTAAGATTTCATCTCAATCTTTAATAGTTAGAGCTATTCATAATATTACAGTAAATAAGAGTCTTGTCTCTGCTTCTTTTCAGCACCAGTGTAAAGGTAGAAATGCTGTTTCTAAACACAGTGCTGTGAAATTTCTTACCAGGAATCTGCCACTGGTTTAGGTTTTCCTTCCAAATCTCGGTCCTTCTTGGACAGTGTGGAAAGCAGATTTATTTCAGGCTCTTCGTCCCCTGGTTTTTGTATTGCTGTTTCGCTAGAACCGGTAAAGATTCAAAGAAAAGTGACTCAGAGGCTGCTCATATTTATTGCTGGGGGGTATCTAATGGTTTTGTTGCTGGGGGGTATCTAATGGTTGTGGATTAATGGCTTTTGTTGTCTTGAATTCGTCTGCTTAGTAATTCAATTGCAAGTAAAACTAAAGCCTCTTTGGTAGTAATGATGTAAATTCTTACTGCTGGGAGTTATGTTTAGTGGAAATTATAATCAGATAATTTCTATCTGCAGTGTTCTTCCAGTGTACGCACTTAGCTTCCTCTTTGTAACTGGCTTATATTTTACCTAGTGTATGCTGAACTGGATAAATGATCCCTTTCCTCTCAGTACATGGAAGGTGCAGACAGATTGGTTTGTTCTGGGAAGGCTCATCCTGCATGAGCAGGAATATTCCACTTCACTGTTGCATCTTCCATAGGGACCCTTCCTGCAGCAGCACCTGGATGTGCCAGACCCTTGCAGCAGTGGGGAGCTCATAGCATGTCTGGCTGATGGAAGTGGTTTTGGATGTGACCCCGGGGCTCCTGTGCCTGGTTCTTTTGCTAATGTCTCTTTCCTTTTTCAGGGCAGAAGGTGGGATGAGGAGAGGCAACATGGGCCACCTCACTCGAATAGCCAATGCTGTGGTGCAGAATATGGAGAAGGGCCCCATGCAGACTCAGATCAGTGAGTTTATTAAAGGTTCGTGCTCCTTTCTCTGGTCCTTCCTTTCCCCTTGATTCAATAACCCTTGTAGGCCTTTGGAAAGACTGTTGCATGTATTTCATGATGATTCCTTCTATAATGAAAAGGATTTCCAGTTAAACATCACAATTTCCCGTAACTTAAACAACTGTCGAGACCAAACTTGGTTGCTCTTTATTTTCATACAGTTAGGTTGAAATTGTTGGAGCTTTGCTTTTTGCAACCAGAGACTGAAGGTAACTGAAGGAAAGAATGCTGCTTTCCTTCCTGATTTCTATGTACATTCATAGTGCTTCTTTACAGCATTCTAGAGTGGTGTTTCTATACTTCTTTATTCTCATATCTGTCTGAGAGGAAGAGACACAGTAAATGATGTGTCACAGAGGCCCTATGTCTCTGCTTTGTCAGATACATTGCCAAGCTTTGTCCATCACATCTTCATTGAATTCATTTGGAGAACTAGATTTATCTGACATTTTCCTATGAGAGGAAATCAGATTTTCCATCTGCATCTATTCAGGGAAACAATGAGTTTCCATTTTTGGCTTCTGTCAGACATCTCCAGTGGTAAGACACTGTAAGACAGTAACTTGGTATGATGTCAGATCTACATGAAAATGGAGAAGTTACAAAGATTTCAATAAAAACTGAAAATATCATAGGTCCTGGTGATTTCCCTCCCTTGTTTCACTGCACTGGTCCTGGGGGGATGAAGACAACTTTATTCATAGCAATCATGCAGTGCTGTGTTTGGGATTTGTGATAAATGGTGCTGATCACACCCCGCTGGTTTAGCTCTCACTGAGCTTGCACAGCACCAAGGCTTTCCCTTTTATCCATGCTGCGTGCCTCAGTGAGCAGACAGGGTGGATAAGAGGATGGAAGCTGGCCTGGTTGACTGAAGGGCTATTCCATATATTACTCCTATACTCAGGAGCAGGAGTTTTGTATCTTTATCGCACTGTAATTCCACAAGTGAGTTAAGATGTTCAGATCAGTGATATCCTACTGCTTGGCCTAACAGAAGATGTTCCCTTCTCAGCAGAATTTACCATTTTTAGGAGATCGCGTAAAACGTAATTCTCTTTGCAGAGCACTTACACAATTCATTGCTTAGCTCATGTGCAGGGGTATGTGTTTGCTCAGCAGCTCCCAATTAACCAGTGGGGCAGAGTGATTGGTTTGATACTTCTCTATGAGTTGTGCTAAACCTTGTGGTGCCCTTTTTCTTGCAGAGCTACCTGAGGATTGCAGAGGGAGATGGGAGAGCTTTGTAGAAGAGACACTGACAGAAACCAACAGGAGGAATACAGTGGATTTGGTGAGAACAGTGCAGATTTCAGATGGGCCCGTTACCTTCTAGACTTTCCTTAGCTTTTTTAGCTAAGTGATACTGCTAGGGGGTTTTTTGTTCTTTTGCTTGCTTTTATGAAGAAGGCTTACAAGGGCTCAGTGTTTGTAGAAAACATGTTCCATAATAGTTCTTGAAGCAGGAACTCTGATACGTGTTGGTAAACTCTCGTCCATGTTTCTGTGTTAGTCACTGGGGTGGTTTTTGCCATCTGACCACCATGGTAAATGATTATATGTGTGGAACAAAAGGCTTTGAGCTTTTTAGCTTTCACTTGTGCTGATTTTTCTGTACTTCCCTCAGGTGAGCACTCACCATCTGCACTCCTCCAGTGAGGATGAAGACATTGAGAGTGCTTTTCCCAATGAACTTTCTCTCCAACAGGTGTGTTGATAACATGCTCTTTACTGTTCCTGGGGAGTTTCCTTCTCTATCTTGCCCTTAATCTTCCCCAGCATAGAGCGGTTCCTAAATTCCACTGTTAGTGTGTTCAGCTCTTTTGTGTTTTTCCAGTGTGGCTGCTTACGTGGTCTGCCCTCCAATTGGAAATCGTAGAGTAGTTAGGGTTGGAAAGGACCTTAAGGTCATCTAGTTCCAACTCCCCTGCCATGGGCAGGGACACCTCACACTAAACCATCTCACCCAAGGCTCTGTCCAGCCTGGCCATGAACACTGCCAGGGATGGAGCATTCACCTGGGCAACCCATTCCAGTGCTTCACCACCCTTACAGTAAAGAAGTTCCTCCTTATATCTAATCTAAACTTTGCCTGTTTAATTCGTTACCCCTTGCCCTATCACTGCGGTCCCTAATGAAGAGTCCCTCCCCAGCATCCTTATAGGCCCCCTTCAGATACTGGAAGGCTGCTATGAGGTCTCCACGCAGCCTTCTCTTCTCCAGGTTGAACAGCCCCAACTTTCTCAGTCTGTCTTCATACGGGAGGAAATAGATTTAAATGAATCCTGGAATGGTTTGTGTTGGAAGGGACATTAAAGCTCCTCCAGTTCCAGCCACTTGCCATGGGCCAGGACACCTGCCACTAGAGCAGGTTGCCCCAAGCTCTGTCCAGCCTGGCCTTGAACACTGCCAGGGATGGAGGTGCAAGTTCCTGGGGTGCAAGCAGAAAAATAGAAGTGTGAAGCTGCGGTGGGAGACCAAACATGATGGTATTTGGGGATATTGTTTCAAGGACATGTGGAGTAATTTCCTGTTCTCCTTGGTGAATGTCCAGTTGGAGGCAGTGACCTTCAGAAGTGATCTGTCTTAGCAAAACGTAACCTAGAAGGTGGTAATGAGAGTGATCAGGGGTGTAGAATATGACATGGGAAGTAAAGTTGAAAGAGTTTGGTCCATTTGGTCAATGGAAGAAAAAATTATATAGAGACATGTGCCTCATCCTACAAGGAAGAGGGGTTTAGAGGAAAAGTGCCTTCTTGATGTCCATGGTGGGTTTAAGTAGCAGCAAGGTAAACTTCATACTGCAACAGGGGAAAACAAGTAAAAACCACCAGTACAACATTCTAATAGAATAATGGAGCCAACAAATGGCTCCCTAGGGAAATTCCGTAAGTCTCTTTGGAAGAAGCTAAGAGCAGATCAGAGAAACATCTCTTCAGGGCTTGCTGTTTGATCCTGCTTTTAGAAAGGGGGTTGGAGCAGATGGTTCCTCAGAGTTCACCAGTTTGCTGTGATATTAATGCTTTTCTAGAATACATGTTTTCAACCAGTTCAGTTGCATGTCTTTGGCCACCTTAATGAGGGCTCTTTTGGGTTCCTTTGCTCAGGCCTTCTCCGAGTACCAGATCCAGCAGATGACAGCAAACTTTGTGGATCAGTTCGGCTTCAACGATGAGGAGTTTGCAGACCAGGATGATAATATCAAGTATGTTTAGAAAACTTCAGGAGGTTTATATTGAGCATTTAAACCTCTTTGCCTCTAATCTTGCTTCTTCTGATTCAGGTTTGAAAAGGAGCCTCACTCTCTACCTCCTTTGGTTTGAAACAGACTGATCAATGGCTTGGAGAACATCTGATGGTTTTCTGTTTATAGGAGTCCACCCTTTATGGTCAAAGCCACTTGTAGAACCAGGGAAAAGCACTTCTTCATTTTGTAGAGAAACCTTTTAAATAAAACATGGAACTATTACCCAGCCCTATTCTAGAATAAATGTAACTGAACAGAAAGCAAAGCATTAGAGCAAAGTCCAGGCAGTTCTACAGATATTCCCCAGTGGCATTAAGGCCTTATTGAAATTAGGAGGAGGAAGAATAATGTTTTCATGAAGTCCACAGAAAAAATCAGCTATTTGCTCTTATGGAAAAGGAAATGTAAATAAGGCAGGAGCAAATAACAGTTCAAAGAAGGCAAATAGAGGTGGATTAAATGTTACATGACTTGCTGAACCCAGTGTTTGGAATTTGTGCTGCTTTTAGAGAAGAATTAATAGAGTTAATTAATTAAAACTGCAGCTCATCTTCGCATCTCAAAAACTGTACTTAAGGGCCTGAATTATCCTGTTTGTCCATAACGGTTCAGGGACTGTAACCATTTAGTGCATAGTGACTGTCAGAAGAGTGCTTCTGGAGACACCCAGTGTGTTCCCTTGTTTCTCAGCTTTGCCTGTTCACTGTCACCTTGTGGCAATGTTTCTCTCAGTCAGAGGAACTGTTTGTCATTGGGGTGTCAAGGCAGAACCTGCTGACACCATCCTGGAGCCAACACTGGTCAGTAAATGCTGGGGCTGCTTTACAAAGAGCCACAGGATCCTGGTGCCCTGGAATCTGGGCAGGAGCTGGAAGCTCTTTGCCCAGCAAGCTCTGGGCATGGCTCCAACTGCTTGGCTGCTCCAGATGTGATTTATTGAGGATTCTTTTGGTGGTTCTGCTCAGACCCTATATTTAGCATCCTCTGGGTGCCATGAAATACCTTAAATGCAGTGACAGTGTAGAAATAGCTTGGCTGCTGCAAAGCTGCTTTCAAGCATGAATCAAAGTAGAATCATGAGATCCTCAGAGCCTCAGGGGCTTTACTGAGGTGTTTGCCAGGTAGTTGGCAACTGTATTCTATCATGGAGAAGGGTTTTGGAATCCAGCTTTTCTGTCTGGGCTTTTAGTGAGCCCTGTGGATGTCAGAACTTTAATAAGGCCAGAAAGATCAAGACTAGAATGAGAGTTCATTTGAGCTTGGCTTAAATACTTAGTTCTACACATGTTAAAAAGTAAAATACACTTTTCACTTCTGTTAGATAGCAGCAAATACTGAACTTGTGTGTGTATAGGTAGAGGGAAAGAATTAACTTACGTGAAGAGCTAAAAGCATCTTATGTCCTTATAAAATGAAGGAGAATCTCATTAACATCTGTAACTGGGATATTCTCTCTGTATTTATGATTAGAGAAACAGACAATATTACAGAACAGTCCTGGTATTGAACATTCTCCTGTTGTCTGTTTTCTTGCTGTTGAAAACTGCTACAGATATTAATTTGAGTATTTTAAGAAGCATTAATCGTGTTTCGGTGTCCTGGGGATTTGCATGGCAGTATTTTTGCTAGCAAACAGCCTTCTTAGGAACAAAATGATACTGCCAAAACTTAGAGATCTGTTGATAACAGTGAAGAAGTACTGCAGGGACCCAAACTGTGCTCTGAGGTTGGAGATTTTTGGCCTGCAGCACCCTCTGCTGTTCTTGCGGTAGAATCGTAGAGTCACGGCCTGTTTGGGTTGGAAGGGACCTTAAAGCTCCTTCGGTTTCAAGCCCCTGCCACGGGCAGGGGCACCTTCCATTAGAGCAGGTTGCACTGTTGCACATAACACAGAAGTGAACATTCAGGGAGCAAATGTGGGGCCACTAAGCAGTCATAGAAAGCATCTCTGTTTTCTTGCTGGGTGTGCAGAAGTGCTTTGTCACTCCATGCCATCACTGACACTTCTTTCTTTTCTTTTTGCAGTGCTCCCTTTGACAGGATCGCAGAGATAAACTTCAACATCGATGCAGATGATGACAGTGTGAGTCATTTGAAAGGAGTAAGATTTGGTACATTATTTGGGGTTGGAAGGGAGCTTAAAGCTTCTCCAGTCCCAAACCCCTGCCATGGGCAGGGACACCTTCCACTAGAGCAGATGGCTCAGAGCTGCTTCAGCCCTCACAGCATCTCTGTGGCCTCCTCTGGACCTTGTCCAACAGCTCCACTTCCTTCTTGTGCTGCTGCCCCAGAGCTGTACCAGGACTGCAGGGGTGGGTCTCCCCAGAGCACAGCAGAGGGGCAGGATCCCCTCCCTGAGCTGCTGCTCACACTCTGGGGGTGCAGCCCAGCACACGGGGCGGTTCTGGGCTCAAGTGCACACTGAAGCCAGGTCATGGGGAGCTTCTCCTCACCCAGCACCCCAGGTCCTTCTGCTCAGGCTGCTACATCCGGTCTCCCCCAGCCTGTGTTTGTACTGGGGATTGCCCTGACCCACATGCAGGACCTTGCCCTTGGCCTTGTTGAACTCCATGAGGTTCACGTGGTTCCACCTTTCCAGCCTGTCCAGGTGGACAGCTTTGCTCAAAGGCTTCCTGCCATTCTGTCAAGAAGAATGCAGTCATTGAAACACATTGCACTCAGGATTAGTTCAGCTGGGGCCATTTGCATCTGTGGCATCACTTTATTCTCCAAGTTCCAAGCTTGTCAGTCTACAGATGTGTTCTTATGAGAATTGTTTCCAGCCCTCTTCTACCATGACTGCCATTGTGAAGATCCAGTGGAGTCATGTCACAGACCAGCAGCTTGCAGAAGCTCCTGCACCTTTGGGAGCAGCATGGGCTGAGATACTGTGGTGGTTCTGCAGTGGTTCTTTTTGGATCTCTCATGGGCTTGCTGCTCCTGAGCATACTGATCTATTAGTACTCTTCCACATCTGAACATTGCTTGTTGCACAACCTGAGATGTAAAATGAAATAAATGCAAACACCTTCATGGTATCAGTTGTGTCCAAATGCTGCTCCGTTAGCTGCTTCATCACTGAGGTTTTTGTTTCTGTCTCCTAAGAATGAATGGGATTTGATTTTGGTTTTAATATTCTTTCAGCCCAATGCTTCCCTCTTCGAAGCCTGCTGCAATGAGAGGATCCAACAATTTGATGACAACGAGGAGGAAGAAGATATCTGGGAAGAGAAGGAGATAACCTATGCAACCCAAGTGAAATCAAGAACACGGTAAGGTGAAAACCAAGATTAATCCCCCCAAAATGTTATGAAACTACAGTTTGGTTCAGTGCGTGCTGAATTGTTTGTTACTGATGTGCTGAGAGGCCTTTTTCTGACATAACCACAACACTTTCCATGTCACACTGCTGCAGGAAGAGGTGGTTTGTCTTGAACATGAAACAAAGATTCAATTTAAGGCAACGTACTAATGACAGAAACACCAAGTTACTGAGTCTGTTATCAAAGATACTTAAAAACAGCCCTTAGTTTGAAATACTTAAAACTCACTCATATTTTGAGGAGGTTGGAAAATTGGTAAGGCTGAGGGTAGTCAAGGGAATATTCTTTTCCAAAATGTTAAAACAAGGAATGTTTTGCATGATAATGAGAGGCCTCCTGTGGTGCATCTCTGCCAGTGCAAATAATTTAGTTTTTCATCCCTTTGATACAATCACTTATTAAATAAAGTTAATTCTCTAAGTCTGAAAAGACAATCAAATGAGACAGGAAAATGACCAAGACTTTAACATCTACTTGCCCAGCATCAATAATTGTCTTGCTCACATACGGAATTGATACCACACCAGTGTTCCCCTCGTTTGCTGTTACCAGTCATTAGCCCTGAACACGTCACTGCAACGTATTTCCCAGTCTAGCTCTGCAGGGGCACTTTGGCAAATATAGCACACAGAGATGGTAGCGGGAGCTCCTGAAGGAGCATCTGCTGGTGCCTCTCTGAGCTTTGTGTCCTTTGGGAGATGAGCTCTCTGAAAGGCCTCACTTGGTCTGCTCAGTGTCTGGGCTTTCTCCCTGGGGCAGGTGAGGGGGGACCTGGCTGCTGGAAGGGATTTTCTAATTCTGAGTTCTGCAATTTAGATTTGGGGCATCTCAGACCTCAGAGAGTTCCTCAAAAAGTGATCTTGAGAATGGGGATCATGACGGCAGCGTGGACTCCGAAGAGGAGGAAACGGAACAGCAGCCACCTCCTTCCCAAGCAAACAGCAACAAGAATAATACTTCTGAGCAGAAAGACTCTGACTCCTCTGAAGGTAAATGGTTCAGGACATTATCCCCTTTGAGCTGAGATCTGGAACATTTCTGCATAACAGCAGTTTGGAAACAGCCAGGTTTCTGTGGCTGTTCTGCAATTCCACCTGTGCAGATGGGATGTGGGAATTTCACTCTCTACAACTGCCTGACAGGAGGATGGAGCCAGGAGGGGGGTGGGCTCTGCTCCCAAGGAACAGGGGATGGGACAAGAGGAAACGGCCTCAAGCTGCACCAGGGCAGTTTTAGATGGAGATGAGGAACAATTCCTTCCCCAAAGGGTGCTCAGGCACTGGAACAGGCTGCCCAGGGCAGTGCTGGAGTCACAGTCCCTGCAAGTGTTCACACACCGTGTAGCTGAGGCCTCAGTGCCATGGGTTAATGGTGGCCTTGGCAGTGCTGGGGATTGGTTGGACTGGATGAGCTTAAAGGGCTTTCCCAACCCAATTGATTCCATGAGTGTATGATCCAGTCCTTGGTTTTGGCCTCAGAAGCATTAGTGAGATTGAGCCCTGCCCAGCTCCTTCACAGTAGCAGAGTGGTGCTTTAGTTGTGCCAAGGAAACCACACAGGTACATACACAATAATAATACCAGTGCTTTTCATGCACATACTCATGAACAGAACATCAGTGGAGGATTATGATGTTAGCTCCTTACATTGCTTTAGAAGAGGGTTATGCAGACTCTGCCAAGTGTCTCCACACTCCTCATATCTGCCTGTCCTGCAGATGTAGCTTTGGTTTGCATCTTGCAAACCCGTTCTTCCAATGCCTGGAGGAAGACTGGAGAGAATCACAAAATCTCAAACTGGTTTGGGTTGGAAGGGACCTTAAAGCTCATCCAGTCCCAGCCCCTGCCATGGGCAGGGACACCTCCCGCTAGACCAGGTTGCTCAAGGCCCAGTAATCAGCTCTCTAAATGCATTCAGCAGTGTCATATATTTTCAGTTCTTATTAGGAAGAACCATTATAAATGCCACAAATATCATCCTGTGGATGGTGTCCATCAGGTTTGTTACCCTTCTTAGGGACATGGTTCAAATGTTGGTTCAGTTTATGAGCAAATGTAGGAGCCAATGCTTGATGGAGCTCTCCTACTCTTAGTTTTGCTATGTGCAAAACAGTTTGCACAGCAAACCTCTGCAATCCTTTCTCTTTCTTGAGAAAACACAAGTAAAAATACCTTTAAAAATTCATGGTTTGTAGGAGTAGATGTTCCAGAGTAGACTGGGACTGTTAAAACCAAGTATGTTCTTAGTTTTGCTCAAGATCACTTCTGTAATCATCAACATTTTAATCCTTACATCAATTTCTTCCCTGTAGTTGCCAAAACTAAACAGTTGGTGGTTGAAAGCCACTTGGTTTGGGCAGGAAATGGAGGTATTTGGGGTCCAGCTGAAAGTCACTGCCTCAAGAAGTGAAGATACTCATTTAGTTTTCCTAATTGATGCTTCTCTCTTGTGGATGATGTTAGTATTTATCAGAAGGGGGATTTTGAAGCTGATTGTAATGTGTGAGGTGGGCACTTCCTGTAGATTCTGAAGTTTTCTTGTCTCTGGGATGACTTTGGAATCTTTTTGGGATGCCCAAAGAGTCACGGGATTCCTGTCTGTGGTTCCATGGGCAGGCTCTGGCTGGACAGCGGTGTTTGAGCCCATCAGCTCGAAGCCCCCCATGCCCTGTGTTGCCATGGATGTTGGATCCAGCGTGTGGGATTCAGCAGCCCCGGAGAACACCACACCAGAGGAGAAAGGATGGGCAAAGTTTACAGACTTCCAGCCCTTCTGCTGGTAAGAGGCACAGAGCCTTCCAATCCTGTCCAGCTTCTGAGTGAAAGAACATTTGAGATGTGGTTTGATAGGGTACATTGACTGTGATCTCTTCTTCCCTTTCCCTTCCCTTTGCTACCCTTTTTAGTTTGTAATGTTGCTGATTAGTCTGGATCAAGTCTTCATGCTTTGCCTTCCAGTGCTTCTATCTGGTGTTAGCATCGTGTCATGTGATACAGGAATACTTTTTGTATCAGCATTGCTGCTACAATAAGAGTGGAAAATAAGTAAATAAACAGGCTTTTTAAAAGTTAAAAGTATTGATGTAAAGAAAGAGTTCTGGTGGTTTCTTCTGCTGGGGCTACTCAGAAGCACAACCAGGACACCTGTACTTCACTCTCAAGGCTTTTCTCCTCTACTTTAGCTCAGAATCGGGTCCACGATGCAGCTCTCCCGTCGACACAGAAAGCAACGATTCAGAAGGGAACCCAAAGCAGAGTCAAGACAAGAACTGTAAGTAAGATGGTACAACCAAGTCTGCCAGGGAGCACTCCCCTCCAGCTTCACCTCCTGCATCTTACATGAAGGCTCTTTTGTACAGAGATCAATCTGTTGAAATAATAACTCAGAAATCCCAAGTGTTTGTTGGGATAATGCTATTCAGCAATAAAAGCTTAAGTTAGTAAGAGTTGATATCACAGAGACCATTCATTTCTAAACTGTTCAAAAGTCCTATTTTAACTGCAGGCTTGATTATAAAATTATTTGCCAGGAATTCAGAGGATGAAATTTGTGGTTGGACTCAATGATCTTAAAGGTCTTTTCCAACCTGTTGATACTGTGATTTTGTGAAGTTAGACTGTTGGTACTCGTGGTGAGCCACTGGGTGACCTTCAGTCTGATTTCTTTCCCTCATCTGTTCTGAGCAAGGAAAACCAAGGTTTAACAGAGGAATTTGATAGAACTAAATTTATCTTTTGTCTAGTAACAACTGAAAGTCGGAGAATACTGGAAGGGAGAAGGTGCCGCCTTCTGCCCCACTTTTCTGGTGTGTTCTCCCAGTGGAGCTATGGATACTAGATTGGATGGGTCTTGGAGCAACATGCTCTAGTGGAAGGTGTCCCTGCCCATGGCAGGGGGTTGGAACTGGAGGAGCTTTAAGGTCCCTTCCAACCCAACCACCCTGTGATTCTGTCAATCAAAATAGTCTCCTCTGCTGTCTATATTAAACACGGACACAAGGTAGCAGGTGGATAACGCTCATTTTTACTGCTTACTTGCAAAAATGAGCTTGCATGCTGTGGGATCTGTACAGAAACCACTGTCTCCAGATATGCAGCCATTGTAAGCACCGTACTTCACACCGCTGTGCTTCCTTGGAGTGGTACCTGGGGAGTTTCTCCTGTGTTTTGTTCACTGTGCGCTGTGGGTTATTCACTCCCTGCAGTCAGCACTGCTTCCCCCTGTGTTTGGAACGTCTGTGTCACGAGGAAAGCGCCGCTGGTGGCCTCAGACAGCAGCTCCTCCGGGGGCTCCGACAGCGAGGAGGAGGAGGACAAAGCTGACACCATCACAGAAACCATCAGCACGGGCTCAGGCCAGGAGACCATCAAGCTGACCATGGATGCGAAGAATGAGAAGGCTGTTTTCACCAGGTAGGAAGGGAACTTCCCTGGTCCAGCATCCCGCTCTGCCCAGCATTGATAAATCCCTTTTCCCTTTAGACCCTATGGTTCCATGTGTGTGTGAGGTGTCTTCCAGCTTCCTTGTCACAATGGGTTTGTTTTAAGAAACATGTGGCTCATTTTAGCCACTTGGCCATGTCATGGAGCATCACCCATCTGTCTGCACAAGAGATCCAGGCCCAGGCTCTTGGCAGAGATGCCAGGTCACATCACACAGAAGAGTCAAGAAAAGTGTGTGATAGCAAATGCAACATCTTGGAAGCAGTGTGTGGTCTTGCAAGGGGCAGATTTAAGTGACTCAAATTGTCATTTTCCTCTCATTGACAAAGTAGTACATTAGAGACAGTAAATGATAGAAAGTGCAAAATGCCAGAAAAAAGATAGAGCAAATCCTGAGTTTTTTTACCTGCTAGGCAGCAGTGCAGGTGGAATTGCTTGTGTTCAGATCTAGCCTACTCTAGTTTTGAGAGGGGAAGGTGCTTTTCAACGCACTAAACATCAAGTTCACTTGCATGCAGTCAGAAATACTGCCCAGTTTAAAGATCATAGAATCAGACTGGTTTTTGTTGAAAGGGGCCATAAAGCTGATCCATCTCCAACCCCCTGCCACGGGCAGGGACACCTTCCACTAGAGCAGGTTGCTCCAAGCCCCTGTGTCCAACCTGGCCTTGAACACTGCCAGGGATGGGGCAGCCACAGCTTCTTGGGGCAGCCACAGCTTCTCTGGGCACCCTGTGCCAGCGCCTCAGCACCCTCACAGGGAAGAACTTCTGCCTGAGAGCTCATCTCAATCTCCCCTCTGGCAGGTTAAAGCCATTCCCCTTGATCTGTCCCTACAGGCCCTTGTCCAAAGCCCCTCTCCAGGTTTCCTGTAGCCCCTTCAGGCACTGGAGCTGCTCTAAGGTCTCCCCTTAAGGAGCCTTCTCTTCTCCAGGCTGAAGCAGCCCAGCTCTCTCAGCCTGGCTCCAGAGCGGAGCTGCTCCAGCCCTCGCAGCATCTCTGTAGTCCCCTCTGAATGCACTCCAACAGCTCCCTCTTTTGTTGTTGCTCCAGAGCTGGCGGCAAGTATATGGGGTTTTCCTCATATTCCTTATAAGTATTCAGGGTGTGATTTAACTAGTTGGAGTCCCTGTTTTATGCATCTAAGGAACAGTTATTTACTTCTTACCCTGTTAGGTTATGTGACATTGTTGGGTAGTCAGTGTGGCCTTGGCATGTGCACACTCTCCAGCAAATAGCTATTAGGAGTTAAAATGCCATGGCTCAGGAAACAATGGGATTACAGAACCATGGCTGATTGAGGGAGGCAGTTAACCAGAGGTGTGTTTGTTTTGGCAGCTCTGAGATGAGTGTGTTTTATTTTGGATGCCCACCTCAGACGGCCTTTTCTTCCTCATAGGTGAAATGAGTGAGATGCCTGGGATTCCTTTGCTTGCAGGGATTGCAGCTGAAGAGCTGTTTGGATAAATGGAGCTTGTTTTTACATATAGGGATGGCATGGCTAAGCAGCCTGGCTTCACAAAAGAGATCTAAGAAAAGAATAAGAATACTCCCTCCTGCTGTGCTGAAAGCACCATCTCCTTTCCAATTTTCAGTGTACTTGAATTAGATCTAATTAAATCCATTGGCATTTGTACCTAAAACAAACTGAGCTCCAGATGTTTTTCCTCTCTGAATGCATAGTATGAGTAGAGTAGGATAACACATGTGGCTGACTGGATGCGCAGCCGCAGCGTGAGTCTTACTTGGCAGGTTCTTATGCCTTCCATTTATTCCCTTGCAGGTAGGAAGCTGGGTTTTCTTCTGGTTTGGCTAGTAAGATGTTGTGGCTGTGCTGCTGTTTCAGGCAGTGTCATTTCAAATGTGTTTTTCTCTCTACATAAGTGGATATTTCTGGAGCACTTTCAGCAAGGACAAACCTTCCAGAACCTGCTTGGGTTTGCATGACTGCAGTCCTACAAACTAATTCCATTTTGGCAAAGAAAGTAGGTACTTAAATAACCACAGTCTCCACTTAAAGGTGTCTGTATCTTTCACAGCTACAACTGTAGCCAAAAATCAGACTAAAAGCTGTGGGAAGACAGAAACCTGTTCCATGGGTGGTGATTTCAGCTGCTCCAGCTCAGTTCAGTAACCAGGTTTCTCCCAGTGTATGAATTGTCATCTTGAACAGTGATGGGAATGGGAATTTTCTGATATCTGCTGCTCTCCCAGACTGTTCCTTCTCTTGGAACAGGAGCACCAATAGTGAATACATTCATTTCTTACCATGTTCCTTAATGATCCCTGAAAAATGCTGGAAGTTTGAGAATGTTTTGGATTGACTCTGTGGTTCTTAATGACTTTCTACAAGCACTTTCCCAAACCACATTCCAATTCCTATAGAAACACCTCTTCCTTCTCCTTTTTTCCCCTCCTGAAGTCTACAGTGGAGATCCTCCTTCTCCTTTCTCTCTTCCCTGCAATACTGAAGTCTGCAGTGGAGATCCAGAAGGACTCTAGATTCTACAATCACTGGGATCATGCAAGAACCAGATGTTTCAGAATATGCCTCCAGATGTTTCAGTACACATCTAAATACCCTCTGTGATCATCTTCCCAATTGCTGATGCTTCTCTGCCTGCCTGTGCCACCCCAGAATGTAAACTCGGAAAGGTTAATGGTTTGTCCTTGCATGGATTGGTAGGACATCCCTCTTGGCAGTTCTGCTTAAACTACTCCTGAGAGTATTGGCTACCTTAAACATCATATAGACAAGGTGTTCCAGGTGTATTTCTTTCCTTTAAGATTATTTAGCTAACTTCTTTTCCCATATTTAATTCTATGTGGTAGTTTCTTGTGTGAAAATAAGGGGTTCTGCTGAAGTTCTCTGACCAAGGAGCATCCAGTATCAGCAAATCCCACTCATTGATAACTTCAGCCTGGGTGTGTTGGGCTTGAGAAAGATGATTTTTACCCTGTGTTGAATCTTCTGCTTGGTTTATATATTGATGTGAATTTTCTGTTATGTTCAGTGATTGTACCCTTTGAAATGGCTTTGGAATGTTCCTGGTATGTCCTGGCAGGAGCTCAGCATTTGAGGATGTGGCTATTGCAGAGTTAACTCTTCTGTCTGTTCTATTTCAGCAGTCTTTACTGTTTCTTCCTTTCTTTGCTTTCTCTCTCTGCCTCTCTTGCTGCCTTTCTCTCTTGCTGTGGGTATTGCTCAGAGTATTTAGACCTGCAGTTGGAGGGTACGTATGATGGGGACCTCCTCGGGGTTCCAAACATCCACCTGACAAGTCATTTCTCCCGTTAGTTACTTCATCCTGGGCTGGCAAAAAAAAAAGAGCTGTCGGACCATTGGAAAGCTCCTCTTTTCCCAATTGCTTAAAAGATCCTGGAAATCCTGTTTTGAAAACCTGAATTTGAGTTGGGTATAGAGCTCTGGGGAAGTGTACACACAGCAGCAGAGCCATTGGTGAACCTCTAAAAGGCAAATACGGTGTTGTCATTCATCATGTCCTTGAGCTTCTGCCATCCCCCTATTTGTGAGCTCTTTCTGCAAAAAAGATTTGGGGTTTGTTATTGTAGAAAGGAGAGTTCATGCTGTGGTCCAGATGACTCAAGGAAAGCCTGGCTGAGGGCACTTGGCTGATAGAATTGCTGCCTGCATTACCTGGGGCAGTGGTCAAGTCTCTCAAGACCTTCTCACAACAACCCTAACACATATTTTACTGTAATAGACCATGAAATAATGGTTGATGTTATTTTCCAAACTCTTGTTTATTTTTACAAAACACTTATTTTTTTCCTCAGATGTTTTCCTTTTCTTTTAAATTCTGAGGTTTTCCTCATTATTTTCTAGAATTTATCCATTTAAAAGAATTTTCCCTGTGCAAACTAGCAAGATGTTGCTGTAATTTCTGGAGGAGATCAGGGACAGACAGAGGAATCCACTGCACTAAGCACATCCATATGAAGAGGAGTTTGTTACAGCAAAGGTGTAAATATTCAGGTCTGGGATCACAGCTACTTAGTGGCAGAAATACCATCCTGGCTTCTCCAAGCAGGGGATTCAGGAGATGCAGCCAAAGGCAAAGGACAGAGGCTTTCTGTAAGGCTTTGTGTTTTAGAACAGTCATAATTACAAAACATAATTTATTAGTTTTATAATTAACAATGTCATTTTAACAGTTTTGAACATTTTCTGCCTCATTCATAAGCAGGTGAGTGCAATACGTACATTTATCTCACCAAAAGGGCTGTCAGGCTGCCCTGCTAGGTAGAAAAATGCAGTAACAGTCGAGCTATTAAGGAAAGATCCAAGAGGATCTTTGTGTAGTCTGTGACTGGTTGGGCTTTCTTGAAGCTGTTTTGAGCAAGCATAAGCTGTAAAGGTCTCAGAAATTACTTCAGAACTTTGCTGAAGACATAGCATCACAGAATTATTTGGCTTGGAAGGGACCTTAAAGCTCAACCAGTTTCAACCCCCTGCCACAGGCAGGGACACCTTCCACTAGAGCAGGTTGCTCCAAGCTCCTGTGTCCAACCTGGCCTTGAACACTGCCAAGGATGGGGCAGCCACAGCTTCTCTGGGCACCCTGTGCCCGTGCTCTCACAGTAAAGAATTTCTTCCTTATCTCCAACCTGAACTTCCCCTGTTTCAATTTGAACCTGTTATCCCTTGTCCTATCACTACAGTCCCTAATGAGGAGTCCCTCTCCAGCATCCTTGTAGCCCCCTTCAGATACTGGAAGCTGCTCTTAAGTCTTCATGCAGCCTTCTCTTCTCCAGACTGAAGAGCCCCAGTTTTCTTTGCCTGACTTTGTACAGTCATAGGAGCAGTCAAAGAATGAGGCAGGTGAAACGTGAGGGCTCAGCAGCTCGAGACTGTATCAAATCATGACTTGCATTTACCAGGGAAAGAGGAGTAATGGATGCAGGAGTGTGTGCAGTGTGAGCGGTGTTCTTGTGGGAAATTACTTGCA